ATAATTTGATTAGGTCTATTGAACAATGGTATGTATTAGTGTACACATCTAAATATTTATATAAAGAATGTAAATGACCGATTTTATATCAAAGTTTTTATACCCTTCACCACACTGTGGTACATGGTATTATGTCTTTGTGTATATGTTTGTAACAGGCAAAAGGAGACGAGATAGACACATGGTTCCTTTTAAGAATATGCATAGAATCACTCTCTAAGTCGATCCATGTTAAATTGTAAACAAAGTACAGGTCACATTTATGATCCGAATTGCATTGAAAATTGGCATAGGTCACTTGTTTGGCCCAAGGACGAACCCTATTGAAATTGGGAAACATCGGTTCAGATTTAGATATAGCTCCCATATATATCTTCGTCATATTTAATGTTAATGGTACACCTAAGGCCCTATATATCATTCGATTTGCACGAAATTTGGCACAGCGTACTGAATTAAGCCTGTAGTGATGTGTGCCAAGTTTCGGTTCAGATTTAGATATAGCTCCCATATATATTTTCGTCCGATTTTATGTAAATGGTGCAACAAAGTCCCTATATATCTTTTAATATGCCGAAATTTGGCATATCGTACTGAAGTAAGCCTATAGTGAAGTGTGCCAAGTTTCGTGAAAATCGGTTCAGATTTAGATATACCTCGCATATATATTTTCGTCCGATTTAATGTAAATGGTGCACCTAAGTCCCTACATATCATTTGATTTGCACGAAATTTGGCATAGCGTACTGAATTGAGCCTATAGTGATGTGTGCCAAGTTTCGTGAAAATCGGTTCAGATTTAGATATAGCTCCCATATATATTTTCGTCCAATTTGAAGAAAATGCTGCATTAAACTCCTCGTGTTTGTCAGGTTGACATACAATTGTGCACAACATACAAAACTCATCCCATTTCATGTTAATGGTCCTTCAAAAATGCCATGTATTTTGGGATGCATCTGTCTAACTTTACTACTTTCCTTACTGGTTTTTCTATAGTACTGATTTTCAAATTGTGCAGGGTTGTGCACTCTTTATCTATTGCATTTTCTAATATAATTTTTTCAATTTCTCGCTAAATAAAAAAAAAGTGTTTAATTGTTATTAACTGCACATTTACCTGAAGTGTTTACATTATTTCAATATAAATATGTGGGTATATATATAAAAATATATACGCAAGGAAAACAACATCTATTGTGTCTACTCAGAATGATTGGCAAATTTGTTTGTAATAACAGTTAAGAATATCAAAACTAATAGTTATTTAATTATATAGTAAATAAAAATGTTAAGAGCGGTCGGATCAAAGTCATACTATGGTACCATTATGTTGGAGCTATATCCAAACCAGTAAGGAAAGTAGTAAAGTCGGACTGGGCCGACTATATGATACCCTTCACCTCTTTGGGTATATTCCAAATATGTATCCTAACAGACGACGCGTTTTGTTATAAAGCTATATATGAACCGATTACAGCGAAACTTGCCAGAGACTAATTTATATAACATCAGTACGTTGTGTAAATCGGCCTAGCTATGGATCTTTTCAAGAAGCTTAGCAACGTCATTCTAGACTTAATTCAGTACCCTAAAGATTTCCAGGGACTTTAGTGGACTATTTACCAAAAATCGGGCGAAGCTATATATGGAAGCTATATCTAAATCTGAACCGATTTTCATGAAACTTTGCACACATCATTCTATACTTAATTTAGTACGCTGTGCCCAATTTCGTGCAAATCGAAAGATATGTAGGGACTTAGGTACACAATTAACCTTAAATCGGACGAAGATATATATGGGAGCTATATCTAAATGTGAACCAATTTTCACGGAACTTGGAAAACATCATTCTAGACCTTATTCATTACGCTGTGCCAAATTTCGTTCAAGTCAAAAGACTTCCAAGGACTTTAGTGGACTATTTACCTAAAATCGGGCGAAGCTATATATGGGAGCTATATCTAAATCTGAACCGACTTTCTCAAAACTTTTCACACATCATTCTAGACTTAATTGTGTACACTATCCCAAAATTCGTGCAAATCAAAAGATTTCCAGGGACTTTAGTGGACTATTTACCTAAAATCGGACGAAGCTATATCTAAATCTGAACCGATTTTCACGAAACTTTGCACATATTATTCTAGACTTAATTTAGTACGTTGTGCCAAATTTCGTGCAAATCGAAAGATATATAGGGACTTTGGCGCACCATTTACCTTAAATCGGACAAAAATATATATGTTTAAATCTGGGCCAAACAAATGAGCTGTGCCAAATTTCATCCAATTCGGATCATAAATGCGACCTCTACTTTGTTTACAATTTAACATGGACATACAGATATATATAGGAATACAATATCAAAATTAAAAAAAAAACCCATAGCTATGGCTTTGAGTCTAGTTCCATGTTTTAATACTTTATCTTCAACAACGAAGGTACATTATTTTGTATTTTTCGTACTTCTTACATATCATATTTCTATTCGATTGTATATTTATTTTTCAAAATTTTGATATAACTACTAATTATTAATGACGTAATTTTGTGAAGCTTGAAGAGGTTACGTTTTTTAATTATTTATTATATTTAATTATTATTATTGACTTTTGTTTTCATGATGTTTGTTTAAAAGCTGTACCATTCTCTATCTAGCAAAAGCTTTTTCCATGAAATTTTATTGAATTAAATAAATCGCATTTTATTAAAATCGTTAAAACAAATAAAATGAAAGCTTGAAAAAAGTGGGTGTGAACGTTATAATTAAACAAAATAGTTTTATCTGGTGTTTATCGCCGTCAAAAATACATTCCGCAGTGGAAATAGTTTTAGTATTATATTAGGTTGGGGAAAAGATATCCATTATTTTTATATGAACTATATGACTTTATTTAACATGCTTCGGAATGTCCGATTTGGGCCAAAAATGCATCGTTTAGTTGTATGATTTGTTACCATTTTAAAGATAACTTCATAATGCCTCTCTCGTGGAAGTCCTGCTCTCTATTTACAAATCCTTCCTAGATATCATTTTTTTCACTAAAGAAATTTTGCAATACAAGAAAAATATGATAATCGCTTGGTGCCAGTACGGATTGTATGGCGGATGCGTTAAAATTTTCCATCCAAGCTACCGAAGTTTCTGGCAAGTCACTATAGATGTGTGTGGCCTAGCGTCCTGGTGGAACACGACACCTCTACTGTTGGCCAATTCTGATCTCTACTGTCAACATCGGGAATTTAGTGTTTGACCATATGGAAGCAACTCATAATAAATAATCCAATTCCAGTCCCACCAAATGCATAGCAGAACCTTCCTGTCCGTTAGTTCTGGTTTGGCCACCGTCTTAGGTGTTTCACTACTCTTTGACCACGATTGTTTTCGCACAGGGTTATAGTTTAAGAAATTGGTCTATCTCATTCTGTTTGGCCAAGGCTTCGCAGATTCGCAGGAAATTCGATCTATCCTTTTTATACCCTACACAACTATGTTGTCAGGGTATTATAGCTTTGTGCAGCCCCAAGAGTTTGTAACGCCGCGAAATATTGGTCCTAGACCCACTTTTAAGTGTACCAATCGTCATATCTCGACTAGCTGAGTCGATCTAGACATGTGTGTCCGTCCGTCCCTCTGTCCATTATAATTTGTAAACACGATACAGGCCACAGTTATGGACCAATCTTCAAGAAATTTTGCATGTAGGATGGGTTCGGCTCAATGAAGACCCCTATTGTTTTTGGTAAAGATCGGTTAATATTTAGGAGATGAAATGGACCAAATTCTTAATTTTTGTCGGTTTTTCTGGTCGCTCTAGAGGCCGCAATTATGGCCCAAAACTTTGCGAATTTTTACATGAAGAAGGGGATTGGGCCAACGAATAAGCGGGTCAAATGGACCCCGATTTTTGTGTGAAAAAATGACAAAAATGTTATTCTATAGCGTATATATTTTCCCCTGAAGGATGTAGACCCAAGAGGTTGATAGTATATACAAGAGGAGTGGTTGACCTTTTAATTGGTATCAATTTAAAGGTCGTATGTTCTCGGATATAGGAGTTACACTTCAATATTTACAGGTGCTTACGTATTCATATATTATTTAGTAAACCATTTCCACATTATAGGGCGAAAATATAGCGCGGATCGCTTTGAAAATTTCTCTGAGGATCCAGGTATGGTAAAGGACAACGCCTATAATTTTCGGTGATGATCAGATAATAATTTTGGGATGAAGTGGACAGAAAACTTAATCTTTTGTGTTTTTTCGAGTCGATCAATAGGCCGCGGTGATGGAAATCAGGACAAGTAATTAGAAAGCATGTACTGAATATTGGTAATAATTATATTTGTTGACCTCTAGTCGTCAAGAGGGTGCAAATATCGCGAAGTATTGCCCAAGGTCAGAATGTAGTACCACAGAAAGTTAGATTTTCGTGGAAGTTGTGTAAGGTATCAAATGGTCGGCCTCGTCCGACTATACTGCTCCGCTCACTGTTTTTTTTTTTTTTTTTGTTAAATGATGTGGCACCCAAACATCGAGCTTCTTTTTGAATGCAGTTTTGTGTAAACGGTTAAAAACCGTTTTTTGGTAGATTTTAGGTCCTGGGCGATATTACGGCTGCTAGCAGCCGGTCAACTTCGATAATTTTTCCGATTTTATCGACATTTTCATAATGGATTTCTTTTTCAAATATTTCTTTAAAAATCCCCGCCTTGTAATAGTCGTTGAAAAAGAATTCTTTAAAAATCCCCGCCTTGTAATAGTCGTTGAAAAAGAATTCTTTAAAAATCCACGCCTTCATATAGTCCTTGAAAATGTATTCTTTAAAAATCCAACCCTTCATTTAGTCCTTGAAAAACTATTCTTTAAAAAATCCGCGCCTTGAAATCCACCCCTTCATTTAGTCCTTGAAAAAATATTTTTTTTTTAAATTCACACCTTTATTTAGTCCTTGGAAAAAATATTCTTTAATTTTTTTTAATATTTACAGAATTTATGGCATCTTCGATCAACGCCAGCCCATGTTCCTGGTACGTGATCCCGATTTGGTGAAGCAAATTGCCATTAAGGATTTCGATCATTTCGTTAATCATCGTTCGATATTTGGTGAAGAGGAAGGAAAAAACTTGTTCGCCGCTTCGCTGTTCATGATGAAAGATTCGAAGTGGAAGGATATGCGTAGTACGTTGAGTCCTGCATTTACGGGTAGTAAAATGCGTTCAATGTTCCAGCTGATGAATGAAGTGGCCCAACATACCTTGGCTCATGTGAAGAAACAGCCAACAGTTTTTACCGAACAGGGGTTAGAATTGGAGGTCAAAGATTTTATAACACGCTTCACAAATGATATTATTGCCTCGACGGCCTTTGGACTACAAGTCGATTCGTATAAGGATATGGATAATGAATTTTATAAAATGGGCAAAAAAGTCACAAACTTTACATTTGTGCAGAATTTAAAATTTTTGATGTATCCCAATTTTAAGAAAATTATGAAGGTAAGGGTGATATTTGACATACATACAAAAAATATTAACCTCTTTTTTCCGAATTTCTAGTTATTGGACATTGATTTATTCGACAAAAAAGACACCGACTATTTTATGCGCCTCGTCTTGGATGCCATGAAATATCGCCAGGAACACAATATTATACGTCCCGATATGATCAATATGTTGATGGAATCTCGGGGCATGTTGAAATCTCATGATAATTTTAAGCCCACAAATCGTGAATGGACTGATGTTGATATTGTGGGACAATGTTTCCTTTTCTTTTTCGCTGGATTTGAAACATCCGCCGCTTTGACATGTTTAACATCCCATGAGTTAATGGAAAATCCCGATGTACAAGAAAAGCTCTATGAAGAAATTCAAGAGGTAGAACAACAACTGGAGGGTAAACAACTTAGCTATGAGGCTCTTATGGGTATGCGTTATATGGATATGGTGGTGCAAGAATGTCAACGCAAATGGCCCGGTGCCATTGCCATAGATCGTATCTGTAATAAGGATATTACCTACGATTTGGATGATGGCACAAAGTTGGAATTGAAAAAAGGTGATGGTATTTGGATACCCGTTGTTGGTTTCCATCGTGATCCGAAGTACTTTGAAAATCCCGAAAAATTCGATCCCGAGAGATTCAGTGAAGAGAATAAGGATAAAATCCATCCGTTTGCATATTTGCCATTTGGTGTGGGTCCCAGGAATTGTATTGGTAAGACCATATTTTTATCAAGTGTTAAATATGATTTTTAATACATTTTTTTATTTTAGGCTCCCGTTTTGCTTTGTTGGAAACGAAAGTTCTGATTTATTATTTGTTAAGAGAATTCAAATTTGAACCAGCCAAAAAGAGTTGCATTCCCATGAAATTGAATCCGGCCGGTTTCCAATTGGCACCCAAAGATGGCTTTTGGATTAAATTTATAAGCAGAACAAAATAGAGGGTTGGGCGATTCGTAAAAATGTGTTATTTAATTATCGTGTATGTTATATGAAATTATATAATTATTTTAGTTTGTTATTTTAACATGTTGTAAGTTATTATCAAATGTTTTTATTGATTATAAATAAAATGTTTTGTTTTCGTACAATGGAAATGACAGTCGGGGATTAGGAAGAAAGTTGGGCGGTCCGAAGGTGTGGAATATTAAAATAATCATGACCTATTTTTTCATGTATTTTTGAAGTAATATTTATTAGAGGAAGGATTGTTTAAAAGTGGAAAAAGAGATTAAAACATACGAATATTGATATCCTATCTGTTTTTAGTTTATACTTCAAGAAAATAGGGACCGAAAGGCACACAAGGACTGGAAAAGACACAGTTCGTTTTACTGAAGAAATATCAACTGCAATAGCCGCAAACAGAGATAAAAACATATTCTTCATGAAGTTTAGAGTTACCAGAACAAAAATGTGTCAAGGCATAACTCAACAACTTGACCTATGGCGGATTTGTCCTTCTATACTTGCTAAGGGCGTTCATACGTCTGAAGTGACAATATAGATCACTATATTTTAGAGCTCTGAACTTTTACATAGACATTGACATTATTTTTACATGCTTGCAATTATAAATATTGTCCCAAGTTTCTGGGTAGCCTACATGTTGCTGTAGCTTTCCCCATTACTAAATATTTTGTAGGGATTTGGAGCATGTTTTTTGGGTTCGAATATAAAATCCAACATGAGTTTTTTCTGAAGGCTCCGATTGATTTTAGGTATTTCGAATGTCCAACACAAGGTGGACTGTATAAAAATTGTGGCCCGAACGAATTTAACGACGTATTTAAGAAAATTTTGAAGGATTTGGGATTTATAAACATAAATAGCGGAGACTCCAAGTACAAAGAACAAAATTAATAAATATTTTCATAATTTCATTCATAGTTTTTATACACCTCACCACACAGTGGTACAGGGTATTATGTCTGTGCATATGTTTGTAACAGGCAAAATAAAAGTGATAGATATTCCTTTTGAGAGTATGCATAGAATCACTTTCGGTGTCGATTTATGCATGTCCGTCCGTCTGTTCTTGTATTTTTGTGAACAAAGTACAGGTCGCATTTATTATTCGATTAGCTATATTAGATTCAGGTATAGGTCAAATATATAGTTTCGTACGATTTTATTTAAATGGAACACCATACTGTCAATATTGGTCCGAATGAGATAAAATTTTGCTGCGTACTGAATTATGTCCAGACTGATGCTTGCGAAGTTTTGTTAAAATCGCTTCAGATTTAGATATAGCTTCCATATATAGTTTCATCCGATTTTATGTGAATAATGCAGCAAACTCACATTATTTGTCCGATTGAAACAAAATTTGGCATAGCGTACTGAATTGGGTCCAGAATGATGTATGCCAAGTTTGTTGAAATCGGTTCAGATTTAAATATAGCTCCCAAACCCCATATATTTTCCGATTGAGAGGCAATTTGGCACACCGTACTAAATTATGTCCGGTTTAAATGTTTGTTATGTTTTGTTGAAATTGGTTCAGATATAGATATAGCTATTATATATAGTTTCGTCCGATTTGATCTAAATGGTGCACCAAACTCTTAAGAATTGCCCGATTGAGACGAAATATTGCTCTATACGGAGTTGAGTCAAGATAGACGTATGCGAAGTTTTGTTGAAATCTGATCAGATTTAGATATAGCTTCCATATATATTTTCGTCTAATTTTATGTAAATGGTGCACCGAGGAGTGGATACTGTACTGCAGCATACCTAATTGTATATGCCACTGCTGCTCAATTAGTTCCAGATTCATACATATTTCCACATAGATTATTTTGCTCGATTTTATACAAATGATACAAAAAAAGAATCCGATTGACTTGCAATTTTTCATAGATTTCAGTATGGTATGTGTATGGGTTTTTTTAAAAATGGTTCAAATATCTACGTAGATCACACATTTATTTGCACTCGACTCCATTCCAATGGTCCTCTAAAAATTATATGTCTGTTCTATCTACAGGATATTGCAATGCAATAAAATCCAAATTATCAATAAGAATCGCAATGTTTATAGAAACCAAATCATAGTAATTATAAAACTAACTACAATTTTAGAGCTCATATTTCTACTGTAGTTTTCTCCAAGATAAAACTGGGACAATTTCATTATTTATTATTTATTTCATAATGAAGTTGTATCAATACTTGTTTTTTTATTTAAACTGAAAACCCCAACACGATATCTTTATTTGTGAAACAGTTATGCTGTATTTATTAACCTTGCATTTTTAGTTACTTTAGTTTTGGTCACTAGTGTAATATAAATGACCCTCAGCTACCAAAGATGTTATAATTATGACCAGAAAACAGACAAAATAAAATTGGTCCATGTGGTCCAAAAATAATAGAGAACTTCTTTGCTCGAAAGCGAAATTACAAGATTTTTTCATTAGGATCGGTCAATATTTTTACCCAGACTTTTATGTGAAAAATGACAAAGTTTGCATTATATGACATATATACCTACTTTTGAAGGGCATAGATCGGAGAATTTGACAGTACCAATTATGTTGATATATATAATCAAATATGGGTGGTATATCTAAATAGCTAAGGGGCTCTACGTATTATGATCACCACACACCAAATTCATACTAGAGGGCGTAAATTCTGAGAGTATTCAAATAAAACACAGATTTGCTGAAATATTTTACAAACTCTGAATACTACATATTAAAAATATACAGACAGCCGCAGCTCATCTGTATAATAAATTAAGACACGACACGGTGCAGACAGCCGCAGCTCGTATGTACTCTAACAAATAAGTAGACACGGTGACCCGGACCGTTCTTTGCGAGTGGTTGTAAAGCACTGATTTTATTTTAAAATATTTATCCTTAGGTTCTACTTAAACAACTCTTGTCGAGCCTATTCTCAAACACAAAATACTTATCAATAAACTTTTTGTTCTAATAATAGAATTTGATCTGTGGAGAGTTTTCCATCGTGTGGGTCATAAAATCTCAACACCAACAGTCTCATCAGGGTTGCATGTGGGATTTTAGACTCTTGTCTTACAACACTCCAACGATCAAATCTTCGGTGACATAAAATTCTGTTCAAAGTATTTGAACATGCTGACGACTGGCAAGAAGAGCTGACAAACTAAATTACTGTTCAAAGCATTTTGAAAACTACATATAGGACTTCTGAATTGTTGTTGTTTTTTTTTTTTTTTTTTTTTTGCCTGCCGATAATATCTTCACAAAGCTCAAATCAGGGTTAATGATTATTACTCGATTCACAATCGTTATAATAAATTTTCTATACGGAAGGACTGATATTAAGTCATATATTAACCGACTGATAAAAAATTAGTTGCAATTATTTTTCAAAATGATACAATGTATCAATTATTACGTAAATCGTTTGATTTATCACCAAATGCATATGAGATAACTTTTATGCAAAAACCCCTATATTTATCATACGTAATTTATGTAATATATTAAATCACACTGTGGTGAGAAATACCCCGCAAACAATGTAATTATTGCAACAATAATATCAAACGGACGTGGCCGACCATATGATACCCTACACAACTACCACGAAAAGCAAATTTTCGGCGGTTCTACATTCTGAGCCTGGGCAATATTTCGTGATATTTGCACCTTTTTACCGATTATAGATCAAAAACTCCACTTTCTAAGTCTCGCATATTTTCCAAAATGTTTTTTCTTGAAGTGAGTTTTTACGCCATAAAATAAAAAAAATTGGCCTCTTTTGGTTTTGGTTGATTTGACCCTCGAAAAGTTGACCGATCATCATCTAAACAGCCGCCCTAAGTATTTGGTCAGATCCTCTTCACCTTGTAAAATATGTGATGTTCTGCATATAATAATTGCCTCTAGAGCTACTAGAAAATTAAAGTTTTCGGTTCATTGCCCCCTGAATGAAATCTTAACTTCACCGAAAACTATTGGCGTCGTCCTTGACCATAATCGAAAATTCATGTACAATTTCAAAGCGATCAGCGCGATATTTCCGTCCTCTAATGGAATAATAGTAATACTATGCACATAGTCACTTTTACCAAATTACGTATAACTCCCACATCAGAGTACATACATCCATACAATTGGTATTAATTTAAAGGACAGCCACTCCTCTTGGATATACTATCAACTTCTCGGGTCTATGTCAACTAGGAGTAAATATATACGGCATATAATCCAAATTTTGTAATTTGTCACACAAAAGTCAGGGTCCATTTGACCCGCTAGAATTTGGCCGATTACAGGCATGATTATTCTTTGGTCCGATCCCCTTCTCCATGTAAAATTTCACGATGTTCGCGCCATAATTGCGGCCTCTGGATCGACCAGAAAAACTGAAAAAAATGTTGTATTTGGCCCATTTCATCCCCTAAATATTAACCGATCTTTACCAAAAACAATAAGGATCTTCATTGACCAGAAACCATCCTACTTGCAAAATTTCGTGAAGATTGGTCCATAACTGTGGCCTGTACCGTGTTTAAAAATTATAATGGACGGACACACATGTCTAGATCGACTCAGCTAGTCGAGATATGACGATCGGTATACTTAATACCCTGACAACATAGTTGTGTAGGGTATAACTAGGTCCTTTAATAGTTTCCTATTTTACATAGTAGTAACATTGGGCAACACACTTTTTAGGCGTTTGATTAAAATTGGTACAAAAATTGGATCAAATACTAGGCATATGAGGAATTTGTCGATCTGGATTCCTAATATATAGGCCAAGCGGTTTCATCCCAGATTTTGAACTGCACCTTTTATAGCCATCATCACTCTGTGGTACAGGGTATTATGTCTTTGTGCATATGTTTGTAGCAGGCAAAAGGAAACGAGATATATACATGGTTCCTTTTGAGAATATGCATAGAATCACTTTCTGAGTCGATTTATGGATGGTCGTCTGTCCGTCCATGTATTTTTGTGAACAAAGTGCAGGTCGCATTTATGATCCGACTTGAATGAATATTGGTACATGTCACTTATTTGGCCCAAGGACGCACCCTATTGAAATTGGAGAAAATCGGTTCAGATTTAGATATAGCTCCCATATGTAGTTTCGTCCGATTTTAGGTAAATAGTGCACCAAACTCCCAATATTGGTCCGATTGATACAAAATTTTGCACAGAGTATTGAATTAGGTCTACATCTTTTTCAAATGTTAATCAAAACCTTTCAATTGCAATTCGAGAATTTCATTTGTAATTCGAAAATTCGAGTATTTAACTCGTAATTCACAACTTTTCATTTGTAATTTTAAACTGTTCATATGAAATTCAAAAAACTCCATTTGAAATTAAAAAAAAAATTCATTTGTAATTGGTATATTTCCATATGAAATTTGTAGAGTTTCATTTGAAATTCAAAGAAATCCTTTAAAAATTAAAATAATTCAACTTGAAATTTATAACAATTCACTTATAATTCAAAATGTTTCAGTTGTAATTCGTAACAATTCATTTCAAATTCATACATATTCCTTTTGTGTTACCAATAATATTTTTCGAATTTAAAATTAAATGTTATGAAAAACAAATGAAATGTTATGTATTTCAAATCAAATGTTAAGAATTTAAAATAGAATTATTTAAATTTCAAATGGAATTTTATTAATTTCTAATGGAATTTTATGAATTTCGAATGCAATACTTGGAATTTCAAATGGAATTCTATGCATTTCGAAAGGTATTCTGTTAATTACAAATGAAATTCTCGAATTACAACTGATATGTTATGAATTGCAAATGTAATTCTCGAATTGCAAATTATTTGTTGTGAATTACAAATGGAATTCTCGAATTACATTTGATATGTTTTGAATAACATGTGAAAAAGGTGTAGATTGATGTAAGATAAGTTTGGTTGAAATCGGTTCAGATTTAGATATAGCTTCCATATATAGTTTCGTCCGATTTTAGGTAAATGGTGCACCAAACTCCCAATATTTGTCCGATTGAGACACATTTTGCACAGAGTGCTGAATTAGGTCCAGATTGATGTATGCGATGTTTTGTTGAAATCGGTTCAGATTTAGATATAGCTCTCATATATATTTTCGTCCGATTTTATGTAAATGGCGCACTGAGGAGTCAATGTTCTATATTCACGAAATTTTGCAGCGTGTATTGAATTTAGTCTAGAATGAATTGGTGCATCAAACTCCTAATATTGGTACGATTGAGGCAACATTTTGCAGAGAGTATTGAATTAGGTCTAAATTGATGTATGCTAAGTTTGGTTGAAATCGGTTCAGATTTAAATATAGCTCACATACATACTATAGTCCGATTTTATGCAAAAGGAGGAGGATTGAAGACGTTCTAGTTAGCTTCATTCGATTTCATCAAAATGATGTACCAAATAACTAAAGTTTGTCCGCTTAGGACGAATTAGTGCACAACGTACCAAATCGAACCTAGAATAACGTGTATTGGATTTAGTGTCGAGATACAGGTTTGCCCATATTCGACGGACCCATGTTTTTTTTTTAATCAAAGAAAAAAATAAAAATTTGGCGGTTGGCAATGTTAATCATTTAATTTGTTCCAAGTAGAGTTGTTTACATCAATTTTTGAATGTGATATCTCTCAAATGACCGCCTCTGGCGTTGATGACGTATTGTGCCCTTTTTGCTGCACTTTCCATCGTTTTTGCCAACATTTCGGCCGGAATAGCGGTTATTTCTTAACGAATGTTGTCCTTGAGCTCTTATACGGTCCTTGGCTTGTTAACCTAAACCTTTGACTTCAAATATCCCCACAAGAAGAAATCAGGCGGGGTCAAATCGGGCGAATGCGGTGGCCAGTACAAATCACCATTTTTCGACAGCAAACGGCCCGGAAACAAATTCTTCAGAAAATCGATTGTTATGCGACTTGTGTGCGGTGGAGCGCCGTCTTGTTGAAACCAAAACTGCCTCATACGCTTTCGACGAATAATTGGCATCACAAAATTGGTCATCATGTCGCGATAACGCTCCTGATTGATGGTAACAGCATGGCCATTTTCATTTTGGAAGAAAAACGGCCCAATGACCGTTTTCGCACTAACGCCGCACCAAACTGTGACTTTTTCGTCTTGAAGAGGCACTACTTGAATCTCCTGAGGATTTTCAGTGCCGTAAACACGGAAATTTTGCTTATTTTCGGTCCCAATCAGAGATGGTCCGTCAGAAATAGTGACGTAAATGACATACATTTCCGACGTATATACATACGTCAGAAACGTCGGAAACCCACCCAAAACCATTAGGTTTTTGACAAAATAGCTATTTCCATTAATCAATTTGGAAATTACGTAAGCTTTACTCAAAATCTATATCGAATTTCAAAATTTTCGTCTCCAAAAAGTTCAGAATTTTTTATCAGTTCTAGTAAGGAATAGTCAGATATATGTAAAAATAATATATATTCTTGAAAATAACAGTATATGGTAATAATATTGAAATAAATGATGTTTACTACATTTATTAAATTTTATACAGGTATATGACGTTTTCGACATTTACACCTTTTTGACAGTCGAAAACCTAAAAATTCACCACACGGACCATCCCTGGTCCCAATATCAAATGGGCTTCACCGGGCATGATAATTTTGTTCCAAAATTGCTCGTCATCTTCGGCCATTTTGATGACTCTTTGGGCCCATTCCAATCGACGAGGCTTGTGCGCAGGCAACATTCTTTGCAAATGCAAATCAATGCGAATAATACGTTGTAAAGTGGATCGAGCCATGTCCAATTGCTGAGAACGGCGTTTTTGGGATGTTCTTGGGGACGTCTCAACACTGGCTCGTACGGCAGCGATATTCTCGGCCGATCGCCTTGGTCGACTTTTATATGGCCTCTTCGGATTAGAAACAACCTTACCAGTCGAAAATTAAAAGGCGCACTTCTCACATTTTTTAATGTTTTAAAGCACGTTCAGTTTTCACAATTGACTTCTTCTGTTGAATGTAAATTTCAACTATTTCAGAGCGCTCGCGTGGCGTGTATTGGTTCATGGTTAAACTCTGCATGGACTGACGCTTCAAACGCGGTATGCCATTAAGCGATGTAACATCTCTGTCAAAAGTTATGGCGTTGCCACATGGGTCCGTCGAATATGGGCAACCCTGTAAATTTTGGATAGCGCATAGTTTTGCAGCATACCAAATGGTGGATGCCAGGGTGTCTCAAAGACGTCCATTTATATATAGATCTTATAATATTTTGCTCGATGATTGACATTAAATTTTTTCGTAGATTTCAGATTGTATCGGTATGGGTGGTTTTATTTTAGTTCAAATATCTACAATTTCAGGCAGTTAATTTAGTTAGATTTCATTTCAATGGTCCTCCAAAGATGATATGTCTATTCTATCTAAAGGATATTGTACATATGAGTATCTCTTGTATGTATCCAAAGTGGTAAAGGGTATCATATAGTCGGCGCTGTCCGACTTTTGAACTTTCCTTACTGGTTTGTTTCATAGTGTAATCCATAGAGATTTAAATAAACAAAAGCTTCTTGTTTTTTCTTATTTGCAATTTATGTATATAAATTAAAAAAAAAAAATTGGCAGACTATATTTACAAAGTCTGCATCGAAATTACCATAATATGAAGTTTTTTATTGAAATATTTAAATATATTGACATGTTAACCACATTGACACTTTTTTAGCTGAATCAAGAAAAAAACAACAACAGCAACGATTAATATTTATTTATTTTTTTTTTTTAATAATAAATAAACGGTAAACTTGCTTTTGTATGTCAGTTGCGTTTTCAATCTTCAAAGGTGTAAATGCTCCCAATAACAGACCAAAAAAAATATATATTTAAATAAATAAGAAGAAATATATATATATATATATAAAATATAAAAAATAAATTGTGTGGCAAAAAAAGCGAACATAATAAATAAATAATTAAATAAAATAATCAATATAGAAACAATGAGTACAGACATCCAAAGATTTTTTCGTAATAAAACAATTTTTATTACTGGTGGCTCAGGATTCCTTGGTAGAGGTAATTCGCATTTAAATTTTAACTTTTACTTGGCCGGATAAAAAGAACTATGTGGAATGTTTTGGATGGATTGCCAATCGGGGTCAATAGATCGAATTTCGTATATTGTAGCATAAACACAATCAATACAGTTAAAAATTAAAATTTTATACGATATGAGTGAAAATAAATTGTTTTATGGTGATGAAGCATGTAATAGAAGAGAAAATTTGGTTTACTCCGTAGATGAACTGGTAAAACAAAATCATCATATGACATACTGTGAGATTGAGTTGTCCTTGTGCATCACTACCACAAGAATACATTCGAAATGATCCTAGATCTATGTGGCGACCTGTTCCGCTTGAGCAATATAGATCGGTAATTTCTGATTGGTATACCACAAATATTTGGATCTGAAGTAATCAGAGGAATTCGAAGAACGAGTAACGCAAGCCCACAGCCATCGACACAATAGCCTTTTCAACACAGTCAAAACGAGGAATTCATTGGTCTTGCTCCGTACAAACCCGATATGGCCTCCAATGAAATAAAAGAAATAGGAGCCCACGAAAAATATGTTTTAAAGTTCAAAAAACAAGTAAAACGTCGTTAAGTTCGGCTTGACCGAAACATAAATTTTATATTGAATAATTGTTAAAGAATTTTTTATTCACCGGGAAACCAATATGCCAAACTATAGCTACTTCTATGATAAAATTCGCTGGGTTAATGGAGCCGGAAACTTGGGCTAATATTAGGTTGGGGAAAAAGAAATCCATTATGAACCAGTGAGCGGAGCAGTATAGTCGGACGGGGCCGACCATATGATACCCTACACAACTTCCACGAAAATCTAACTTTCTGTTGTTCTATGTTTTGAGTTTGGGCAATATTTCGCGATATTTGCACCATTTTGCCCGACTAGAGACCAACAAATATTATTAATATTCAGTACAGCTTCTTTAATTACTTGTCCAGATGACCTTTACCGTGAGTTGTGCTGTGATGTTCGGCTCTCAAATGTGGCCTATAGATCGACTCAAAAAAAAAAAACACAAAAATTAAGTTTTCGGTCCACTTCATTCTAAAAAAATATTATTGGTAGCACACAAGGAATATGTATGAAGTTGAAATGAATTGTTATGAATTACAACTGAAATTTTATGAATTACAAGTGAAATATTATGAATTTTAAATTGGATTCTTTGAATTTCAAATGCATTTCTTTGAATTTCAAATGAAACTCTACGAAATTCAAATGGAAATATTCGAATTACAAATGAATTTTTTTAAATTTCAAATGGAATTTTTTGAATTTCATACGAAAAATTTAAAATTACAAATGCAACGTTGTGAATTACAAATTACATACTCGAATTACAAGTGAAATGTTATGTTCGCGGTGTTTGGGCCATAATTGCGGCCTCTGGAGCGACCAGAAAAACCGACAAAAATAAAGTTTTTGGTCCATTTCATCCCCTAAATATTAACCGATCTTTTCCAAAAACAATAGGGGTCTTCATTGGCGAGAACCCATTGTACATGAAAATTTCGTGAAGATTGGTCCATAACTGTGACCTATATCGTGTTTACAAATTATAATGGACAGGCGGACAGACGGACGGACGGACACACATGTCTAGATCGACTCAGCTAGTCGAGATATGACGATCGGTATACTTAATGGGGCGCCATATTTCGCGGCGTTACAAACTCTTGGGGCTGCACAAAGCTATAATACCCTGAGAACATAGTTGTGTAGGGTATAAAAAGTCGATAAAATGGGAGGAATGATCGAAGTCGACCGGAATATTGTCATTCGTTACAACGCCCATAAAATTGTTTTAAATCATTTACAAAAAGCTGGATTCAGAAAGAAGCTCGATGTTTGGGTGCCACACCAATTAACAGAAAAAAATAGGATGGAACGAATTTCCATTTACGAAGCCAAACGGAATGAGATAGACCCATTTCTTAAGGGATGGTGACTGGAGATGAGAAATGGATCACATGCGATAACCATGTGCGAAAACGATCTTGGGCAAAAAGCGGTGGCCAAACCAGGACATGCTATGCATTTGGTGGGACTGGAAGGGGATTATATATTACTTCCATATAGCCAAACGTAAAATTCTGATCTCTACTGCCAACAACTTTGAACTTTGAAGATAACTGGACCGTTTGAAGATAGCCAGAAACGACCAGAACGCTAGGCCACACACATCTACAGTGACTCGCCAGAAACGTCGGGAGCTTGGTTGAGAAATTTTAATGCATCCGCCATACAATCCGAACTTGGCACCAAGCGATTATGCAATAAACGGTGCAAACGGAGATTTTCTACCCAATAAGAGCTCGAAATACTAAAATGCAGCGAATTTGGTCATGCGCTAAAAAACACCTACCTTCCATACTATGGTGGAGTGTATAAAAATAAAACCCGCCTAAGCCATAAGTTTTAAAGCTCCACCAAGATGTTTGGGCTGTAACTCTAATATTTGAATGTGACACGTTTTAAACGTCCCGACCAAGGACGTCAGTGAAATGTAACAAATATTGTATTTTTTTCTCGATACGAATAAACATATATTTCTAACATCGAACTGGTTCTCGGTAATGTATTTTGAGGAACAAACAGCCCAGTACATTTTTGGGAAAATTACGAAAATTGTTATTTTGAAGAAATCAGCTCTTTTTAACCTTTATGTCAGTCTGTTTTCTACTATTCTGTGATTTTGGATTCTCATATGGTATCGTCCTAGTTGAAAATTGCAAGAATTTCGGTAAGGCTATCATAAATCATTACCTTTCTACTATAATACTTGATTTAAAATTTGTTTTATAATTTTTCATTCAATTTTACTTATTTTGCAGTACTACTTGAAAAAATATTAAGCTGCACCGAGGTTAAGTGTATTTATGTGTTGTTACGGCGCAAAGCTGGGCAGGAGATAACCGATCGTTTCAATAACATATTAAAATCCCCGGTAGATACTAAATTTGAAATTTTACATTCTGAATATTAACAATTTTCTGTTACAGTTATTTGATAAACTTCATACACTGCGTTCAAACATTTTGGATCAGATTCGTGTTATTGAAGGTGATTGTTCTTTGGAAAATTTAGGTATTTCCAATGATGATTATCGCGAATTAATTGAAAATGTCGAAGTGATATTGCATTGTGCGGCAACAGTAAATTTTAGCGAAAATCTTAGTGTTGCAACGCAGATTAATGTTCAAGCCACTATGGATGTAATCCGGATGGCTAAGGAGATGCAAAAATTAAAGGTAATCTAATATTGCCAAAAGTTTTACATAATAATTTTTATGAAAATTGTGAATTAATTTTTAATTGTTATATTGCTTAGAATTTATAAATCATTTTCGTTTTAGTCCTTTGTTCATGTCTCTACAGCTTTCGTCCATTGCGATACCATACATACTGAGGAACGTTTTAATTCCGAACATTTGTGTGTCAACAGTGAAGATTTGTTGAATATTAAAAAATCGTTGAAGAGCGATACATTTGATTCTTTGACATCAAATCTTATAGGAAAACCAGTAAGGAAAGTAGTAAAGTCGGACGGGGCCGACTATATGATACCCTTCACCACTATGGGTATATTAAACAGGACTATTAACATGTAATTGGATGAAAAAAAGTAATATTTATCTAAATGTGAATCTACCTAGATCTATCCATAAAGTATGTTAATCGACTTCAAACAAATATAAATAAGTCCGTTGGGCTATGTCTGTACTTCTAGAAAACGCAACTACGTAATTGTATGCTCAATTTTGTGCGTTGTGCACAATTTGATGTCAATCTGACTAACATGAGGAGTCTGATGCCCAATTTACTTGAAATCGGTCGAAAATATATATGGAAGCTCTATCCAAATATTAAGCGATTTCAAACAAACTTGTCACAGGTTAGGTTATACTAATTTCAGAACGTTTTGTTTCTATTGGTTCCTTAGTACGTCAATTACTTAAAATCAATCTATAATAAAAGGGAGCTATATCTAAATCTGGACCGATTTTCACGAAACTTAGCATCATTTTAGGCTCAATTCAGTACGTTATGACAAATTTCGTGCAAATCGAAAGTTATATAGGGACTTTGGGGCACCATTTACATGAAATCGTACGAAACTATATGTGGGAGCTATATCTAAATCTGGGCCGATTTTCTCGAAACTTGGTAGACATCATTCTAGGCTCAATTCAGTGCGTTATGCCAAATTTCGTGCAAATCGAAAGTTATATAGGGACTTTGAGGCACCATTTACATGAAATCGGACGAAACTATATATGGGAGCTATATCTAAATTTGGACCGATTTTCTCCAAACTTGGCAGACATCACTCTAGGCTTAATTCAGTACGTTATGCCAAATTTCGTGCAAATCGAAAGTTATATAGGGACTTTGAGGCACCATTTACATGAAATCGGACGAAACTATATATGGGAGCTATATCTAAATCTGGACCGATTTTCTCCAAACTTGGCAGACATCACTCTAGGCTTGATTCAGTACGTTATGCCAAATTTCGTGCAAATCAAAAGATATATACGGACTTTGGGGCACCATTTACATGAAATCGTACGAAACTATATATGGGAGCTAAATCTAAATCTGGACCGATTTTCTCCAAACTTGTTAGACATCATTCTAAGCTCAATTCAGTACGTTATGCCAAATTTCGCGCAAATCGAAAGGTATATAGGGACTTTGGGGCACCTTTTACATGAAATCGGACGAAACTATATATGGGAGCTATATCTAAATCTGGACCGATTTTCTCCAAACTTGGCAGACATCACTCTAGGCTTAATTCAGTACGTTATACCAAATTTCGTGCAAATCAAAAGATATATAGGAACTTTGGGGCACCATATACATGAAATCGGACGAAACTATATATGGGAGCTATATCTAAATCTGGACCGATTTTCACGAAACTTGGCAGACATCATTCTAGACCTAAATGATTAAGCTGTACCAAATTTCGTGCAAATCGAAAGATATATAGGGGCCGTTTACATTAAATCGGTTAAATATATATATGGGAGCTATATCTAAATCTGAACCGATTTTTCCCAATTTCAATAGGGTTCGTCCTTGGGCCGAATAAGTGACCTATACCAAATTTCATTCAATTCGGATCATAAATGCGACCTGTACTTTGTTTACAATTTAACATGGACAGACAGACAGACAGACGGACAGACGGACGGACGGACCATGCATAAATCGACTTAGAAAGTGATTCTATGCATATTCTCAAAAGGAACCATGTGTCTATCTCGTTTCCTTTTGCCTGTTACAAACATATGCACAAAGACCAAAGCAGTCACGGAAGGATTAATAAAGCAGGAAGAAAGTTCACTGCCGCTTTGTATATTTCGCCCCGGAATAAGTAAGTAAATGTTGAAATTGAATTATGCCTAACTCTGAAATAAAATGAGAAGCCACCTTCCCACGATTTTAAATTTAGCGAGACTTTCAATAGTCTTACTTACTTAGCTGGCTTTTGACAAAACATTTGTTCCTTAAGTCGAGTTTAAAAAAGAATTTCAGGCGCGTCGATCTCTTGCACAGCTCTTCCAATTTGAAAGATCATGCAAAATCTTTGACTACATCGAATTTGCAGTTCTTAAGTTCCACAGTTGGTCCGGGCCTACTGGACGTCTTGCGCGTTGATACCATATGCTTGGTATTCTCGCGATTTACTGCCAGACCAATTTTGGCAGACTCTATCTCAATTTGTTCAAAGGTGGCTGTTACCGCTCACAATGTTCGATACATTATATCGATGCATTAGCGTAGACGAATATCATGCGTTGCCTCCTGCATGAACTTTTCCAACAGGATGTTAAACAGGTGACACGACAAACTGTCACCTTGTATGAATCCTCGTTCGGCATTGAATCTTGTGCCATTTAAAGTTATCCTGCATAGCCGTATTAATTTTGCAGAATGCCAAACGCACACATGGCTTTAAACGCCGATTGCGGTATTATAGTCGACGAATAGGTGAAATGTGTCGCTGTTTTTTTTCGTGGGTCTTTTCCAGGTATGGCGAGAGTCTCGTCTCCTTAGTTTGTGCATGCTCCTGACCACCGGTCCTACTGATCACAAGTCTTGAATAGTTCGGCTGGTTGCCCATCGGCACCTGCTGCTTTATTATTCTTCAGACGATTGATTGCTATTCTGACCTCATCTTGTCTAGGTTCTGCGGTATTTTCTCCACCGCCAATTTTTATACCAGAAGCTTTTCAAAATGCTCCTTGCAGATCCGCAACACTATATCTGTATCTGTCACCAGGTTTCCTTCATCCCGACAGGGATGCCTGCACCAAAGCCTTCGGTTTGGCGTTTTACTCGTTGGTAATTTCCGGACTTCGTTCTGACTCCTGTACATCTCGATTTGCTCCCGCTCACGTTCTCGTACTTTCTTCTTTTTACAAAAAATACGTTTCTCCTCTCCTTTTCTACCGATAATTCTCTCTCGCATTGCATGTTGCCACTGTTTGCAGGGTTGCCCCATACGCAGCGTTTTTCACCTCAGTAGAATTACGGCACTGCTGATCGTACCGGATCATTTATTGGTGGTGGTCTTTGGTACTCAATGGTTGCTTTTGCTGCAGTTTGTAGAGGGTGGGCAATTCTTTACCATTGTGCTTGTATATTCTTCTTTGTCCTGATTTATATTAGGCGAGTTTACTTGCGGCAATTATTATCGTTCCCTTTTGAACTTGCTTCATGCGTCTATACAAGGCAATTCGGTTTCGAAAATATTTCTTTTTTCATGTGTCAATAGTTTTTTCACATTTAAATAAATATAAAATGTCAACAAATTACACAAAACGAATTGCCAGAAAATTGTCGGTACGAGCAATTTTTTTACATTTGTGTTCCCCTTGCCCTTCTCTCTACATTCAAAGACTTGAGTGCGAACTTTGGTTGCTACAAGGTGTTAATGCAAGTGGGTAAGTTGAGCGGATTAAGTTGAACGGAGTAGGCTTTCCTCGTGATGTGTTAATCGAATTTGCTAAAACATTTGATTAATGCCTTCCGTCTGTCACAACATGATAGAAAAATATAGGTGGCCTTGTTTGTCACAACATGCTTGAAAAATATAGGTGCTGCTAACTACTATTCTTTTTGCTGCCGCGAAGTCAATCAATCTCATGCCGTTGCCGAATGCTTCTTCGTGGAGGCTGCTTCTTCCATCGGTGGAACTAAAAATATTTCCCTTCCGATTTTTGCATTAAAATCTCCTAGCAGAATTTTAATGCCATGGCCAGGGCAGCGTTCATATGCTGTTTCTAGGCGCTCGTAAAATATGTCTTTGGCCTGCTCATCATTATCTTCCGTCGGAGCATGATCGCAAAAAGACCGATATAGAAAAACTCCGCTTCGATTATAGTAATTCGCTCATTTACTGGAGTGAGTATGGAGACGAGGTATTTTATTCTCCTATTAACCATAAATCCGCAGCCAAATTCATGTCTCGTTCAGAGCAGATATAATACAGTGCATAATCATCTGACTTGCGTCTGTCCCTTTCCATCGCAACGGATGATGAAAATAGGGACCAATATAAGCCTGGGCTTTGCCATCATGTTAAAGCTAATGAGAGCTGTTATGTCAAATACGTAAAAAAATCGAGGAAGAAAGATCCGGTTTTCTACTTGTATGATTCAATAAATTTGACACGTTTGTTAAGTATATTTCAAGTGATATGTAGATAAGGCATTGAAACCGAAAACCGGTTCATTTTTCCCTGAAATGTATTTATTATTTATTTTTATTATATTTAATGTTTTCTGCAGTCATTTCAACTGTCGAAGAACCAATTCCCGGTTGGATAGATACTATTCAAGGAGCTGCCGGTGCAACATATAGCTTTTTAATCGGAGTCTTGAGAATAATCAATGTTGCCTATAAGACAAAAGCACCATTGGTACCGGTGGATTATTGTGCAAATATGATAATGGCAGCGACATGGCATACAGCTTCAAACCATAAATCAAGGTAATTAATAAATATTTTTAAAATTTTAATTAACATTACTAAAAAATGTTAAATTTCCTTGTAGACGCACCAGCGAACCAACAATTTATAATTTTGTACCCGACGAAACAAATACAATCAAGTGGGGAGATTATATCCGGTCGATACATAATTATTATTTAAAAATGCCCTATTCAAAAATGATATGGTACCCGATGGAGATATTAATACCAAATCAAGTTTTATATCAAATTGCGGTTTTTTGGTATCACACCGTGGCTGCCTATGTTATGGATGTATTTTTAAAGTTGCAAGGATCAAAAATAAGGTAAATATTATATGGAGTTTCTATATAATACACATTTATTCGAAAACTTTGCGATTGATAGCATGGTACGTTTGAATCGCAAGATAACCCGCCTGACAGCAGCATTGAAACATTTTATAAACAATGATTTCACCTATGAGACCACGAATACAAGACATCTGTGGAAATCATTATCTCTGGAAGATCAAAAAATATTCAATTTTGATATGGCCTCTTTGAAATGGAATGACTATTTGCTGCGATATGCCAATGGATTACGATTGTATATTGCTAAGGAGAATGAGAAATCGATATCTTCAGCTAAAAGGACATTAAATAGGTATGTAATTATAGACTTATGGCTAATGAGGATATATACACTTTGTTAAGGCAAAAATGTGCCTCATCGAAATATTAGTTTTAGACCTCAAGTTTCTTTGGCCCAAATCCGATTTAGACAATTTGGAGTCGATTTACAAATGTCTGTTCTGTGTGGCCGTCTACCCCAGCACCGCACGATAACTCTTGAAGGGAGTAACCGTTTTCATCCAAACTTTGCTCATCGTAATATTTCTTCCAAATTTTGTTCAAGTTTGAATATCGGTCCACTCCTTCTCCATATGATATATGCGCCGTACACATATGAAAATCGAATTATTTATTCTAATAATATCTATTTCAAAATATAATTTTTTCAAATCGAAATTTCATTAATTACATTTTTTATTTTATTTTTTTATTTTAGGTTTAATATACTTAATATAGTGGTACATTTAATCGTTTTTATTGGTCTGTTATGGACATTGAAATCCATAATATTATCATAAGATTCAAATGGTCATGGGAAATGATAGAACAAAATACTTACTTTGTTAAATACTTTGAAATATAAATTATATGTATAAGAATTTTAAATAAAAAATAGATGAAAATAATATGCATTAATATTTATTTTATTAACTATAAATATTAAACGTCCCTCTTTTCGACGGCGGGCATGATTGCCGATCACTGAATCTCAACGAAATTAGAAAGAGGGCATATATTTCTCTGGTATGACTTCGCGCGAAAATGATCAAAATGTCGTACCTAAGAAAATGGTTTGTTGGAAAATCGCCTATTTTCGACCACAAATTAAGCTGGAAAATAGGGAAGATATTCATCGATTGTTCTACATTCTGAGCTTGGGCAATATTTCGCGATATTTGCACCCTCTTGATCGACTAGAGGTTAACAAATATTACTAATATTCAGTACAGATTCCTTTCACCGTGGGTTGTGTTGTGATATTCGGCTTTTAATTGTGGCCTATAGAAAAAAAGAAAAAAAAAACACAAAAAATAAGTTTTCGGTCCAATTCATCCTAAAATTATTATCTTATCATCACCGTTGATCATAGGCGTTGTCCTTGACCATACCTGGATCCTCATGGAAAATGTCAAAGCGATCAGCGCTATATTTCCGCCCTCTAGTGTGGTAATGGGTTACTAAATAATATATGACCTTAAATATTTAAGTGTAACTCCCACATCCGAGTACATCCGACAGTATAATTGGTATGAATTTAAAGGCCAACCACTCCTCTTGGATATGCTATCAACTTATCGGGTCTTTGTTTTTCAGGGGTAAATATATACGCTATAGAATACAAATTTTGTAATTTTTCACACAAAAGTCAAGGCCCATTTGACCGGTCCATTTGACCTGATTTCCCTAAATATTAACCAATCTATACCAAAAACATAGGGTCTTCATTGGCCAGAACCCATCCTACTTGAGAAATTTCGTCAAGTTTGGTCCACTGTTACTTGTATCGTGTTTACAAATTATAATGGATAGACGAACGGACACACATGTCTAGATCGACTCAGCTAGTCGAGATATGACTATTGGTATACTTGAAGGTACACAAATTCTTGGGGCTGCACAAAGCCTGACACCATAGTTGTGTAGGGTATACAAATAAGTGTTGACACGAGCAGCATCAAGCTCAACTGAAAGTATAACATTTTAAAAAACAACAACCACTGCTCTATGGCATCTGTACTCCGATGAAGGAACTTGGCGAGGAGATGTCCGTGGTACCATCAGCAGACGTGATTGATTAAGCTCGGGTAGTTGAGTCTGAACGTATTAAACTAGTACACTTACTTTAACCGTTTATATATATTTTATGTATTTTATACCCGCTTACTTTGGAATCCCGCGAGTTCACACATAAGAACTATAAAAATGGGTTGAGGCGTCGGGTTAGTTGCCCACACTCGGAAAATCTCTCCTACGGAATTTTTACCAACGAATAAAACACCTGTAGAGATGAAGAAGGAAAGCTGATGACAGATACCGACAGCGTGTTGAGGATCTGGAGGAAGCATTTTGAATAGCTTCTGGTATCAAATAGTGGCGATGAAGAAGATAACCCGGAACCAATAAGAGATGCTGATGATGATTATGATGAGGTCATAAAAACAATTAATCGGCTCAAGAACAATAAAGCAGCAGGAGCCTATGGGTTATCAGCCGAACTTTTCAAGACTGATGGTCAGATGCTGGTCAGGAGCATGCATCAGCTGATTAGTACAATTTGGCTAGAAGAATGCATGCCCAATGATTGGAACCTCAGCATCCCGTGTCACGTGTAAAAAAAGGAGATAAGGCGATATGTGTAAACTATAGAGGAATTAGTCTCCTTCCCATCGCATATAAAGTGCTGTGCAGCCTGCTGTGTGAACGATTGAAGCCAATAGTCAATGACATCATCGGACCATACCAATGCGGCTTTAGACCTTGCAAATCCACCATAGACCAGATTTTCACACTGCACCAAATCCTGGAAAAGACCCAAGAAAAATACATTGACACATTCCACCTATTCGTCGACTATAAAGCCGCATTTGACAGCCCAATCCGTTCAGAGGTATTTAAAGCCATGTCTGCGTTCCGCATTCCTGCAAAATTAATACGGCTAGGAAGGATAACTTTAATTGACACAAGGTCAGCAGTTAAAGTCGGAAAGGACCTCTCGGAACCCTTCAATACCGAATGTAGATTCAGACCTTTTTAAGATCCTGCAGGCAAAGGTCATTCGAGATGCAAATGTGAGCAGAAATGGAACTCAGTACACCAAACAGCATATGTTACTCACCTGCACAGATGACATCGATATGCTCAACCCATTACATTGCGAGGGATAACAGCCGCCTTTGAACGACTTTAGAATGAGTCTGCCAAACTGGGAATGGCAGTAAATGGCGAGATGGCCAAGCTGATTGTATCAACGCGCAAGAGTCCAGTAGATTCGGACTAACTGTTTAACTTGAAAACTACAGTTTCGAGGTATTGAACGATTTTATATACCTCGGTAAACAAAACTAATAACATCAGCTTTGTAATCTAGAGAAGAATAGAGTTGGCCAACAGATGCTACTATGGTCTGAATAAGCAACTCAAAAGCAAGACCTCCTTTCGCCAGATCAAACTCACACTCTACAAGACGCTGATACTAGCCGTGCTGTTATATGGATCTGAAGCATGGGTACTTGTGCAAGCAGATGAGGTAGCTCTTGAAGTGTTTGAGAGAATAATTCTCCGGAAGATCTATGGTCCGATCTTCGTCGGTGGTGAATATCTTTGTTTAATGAACCAGCTTATGGTTCAAGCCGAAGGGAAAGGCCACGCATTCGATGAAACGATCAAGAAGAAGACAACACTACGGAACATGGTCTTTCAAATTGGCCGCGCTTGGAAATCTTTTTTATGCTCGGTTATGGAATAACCGTACTGTCAAGAGCCACATAAGTAAATACGTATTTTATATACGCTTACTTTGGAAACCACGAAATGGATAACCCTATATAATCCGTACTTTCTTAGATAATTCACTACGGTAAAAAGTTTGTCGATATGCGATACTAGAAATTTTTTGTCGAAAAATCGATTTGATTATTATATTCGTGTACGGGGGTTTTGAGTAGGTCATTAACGCCTTATGTCAATAAAATTGTATGTATTCAATTCAGTCGAATGCATGTTTTTTATTCTTAAACAAAAAATTAATTGTGTAGCTTCCAATCCATGATTGTTTGCTTTCCAATATATTGAATTTGGTTTCATCAATGACATTTACAGTTTAAGTCAATTTATTTTTTTTAATTAAAACTTGTAGAATGTAGAATGTGGAATGTATTTAAATATAGAAATATTTTCTTTAAAACAGTTTTGTAAAATTCAGTAATTTTCAAAACAAATATTTTATATTACATTGAATGCAAATGAATTTTATGCATAAATCAAGTTTTTTCTAGAAAAAATTGGTTAATTTTGTGATATTTCATTACAGAGAAATTCCAGTATTGAATATTATTAGTAGCGTTGAATGGAATATGTTGAATATTGAAGTATTTCCTTACAGTATGCTACGTAAAAAAGAAAAATATCAAGGATACCTTTAGCCGATTCTATGCCTATAAAACTTATGTTGCTATATGTATGTACAATATAATTTCCGAGTAACACCGAAGGAAATGAGCTCAGAATAGACAAAAATTCGCAAATCAGACTAAATGTCAAAAATCTTAAAAATATGAAAACTCTACCTCACGATTTTTTTCCGATTTTATGCCAGTCTTTCCAAGTTTATGCCGTTTAGTTCGACAAAACCAAAAACAAAAATATTCGCCATAAAATTTTATTATAAGTCACTGAACAAGATGCCTGTTCAAATGTGGTGTACTGAGTACCGAATATTGCATTTATCTAACTTCTACTGTATTTAGAATGTGATAAATATACCACAGTAGCACATTTGTCTTTCAGTTTATTGTCTAACATTTAAAGGTGTACAAGCTACTGTTACAACTGTTACTGCTACTGTTAACAAACCACATAACAATAATCAAAACAGATAATTGTTCTATAGCAATAGAATGACTACCGATATTCAGCAATTTTTTCGAAATAAAACAATATTTGTGACTGGTGGAACGGGATTTCTTGGCAAAGGTAAGTTAGTGTATAAAACGATAAATATTCTGAAAATTATAGATTATATTTTAATTGAAATGTAGCTTTGGACCTTTCCATTTTTGTAAAATAGAAAATAGAAGCGGAGCAGTAAGTTGGACGGGGCCGACCTTATGATACCCTACACAACTTCCACGAAAAACTAACTTTCTGTGCATCTATATTCTGAGCTTGGGCAATATTTCGCGATATTTGAACCATCTGGACCAGCTAGAGGCCGACAATTATAACTAATGTTCAGTACAGCCCTTCTAATTACGTGTCCAGATTCCCTTCCCTTGTGTTGTGAACTTCTTATTCCCATTGGAGCCTATAGATCAACTCGAAAAAAAATCACAAAAAATTAAGTTTTCGGACCACTTCATCGCAATATAATTATCTGATCGAAATTTGTGTGTGGTCCTTGACCATAACTGGAACGTCATGGAACATTTTAAAGCGATCAGCGCTATATTTCCACCCTATAGTTTGGTAAAGGGTTACTAAATAATATCTGAATACATAAGCACCTGTTACACCTGTAGTGTAACTCCCACATCATAGTACATACGACCATATAATTGGTATCAATTTAAAGGTCAACCACTGCCCTTGGATATACAAACAACTTTTCAAGTCTATGTCCTTCAAGGGTAAATCTATACGCTATAGAATACAAACTTTGTAATTTTTCATACAAAAGTCAGGGTCCATTTGACCCGCTAAATATTAACCGATCCTTATCAAAACTGGCACGCTTATTCTTTGGCCCGATCCCCTTCTCTATGTAAAAATTCGCGATGTTTGGGTTATATTTGCGGCCTCTGGAGCGACCAGAAAACCCGTCCGTCCGTCTGTCCATTATAATTTGTAAAAACGATACAGGCCACAGTTATGGACCAATCTCCACGAAATTTTGCATTTAGGATGGGTTGTGGCCAATGAAGACCCCTATTGTTTTTGGAAAAGATCGGTTAATATTTAGGGGATGAAATGAACCAAATGAGCATGCATGTTTTGATAAAGATCGTTCAATATTTAGCGGGTCAAATGAACCCTGACTTTTGTGTGAAAAATTACAAAATTTGTATCCTATAGCATATAGATTTACCCCTGAAGGACATAGACTCGGGAAGTTGATAGTATACCCAATAGGAGTGGTTGACCTTTAAATTGATACCAATTTTATTGTCGTATGTACCACACTAAAGGGCGCTCATCACTTTGAAATTTTTCACTAGTATCCAGGTATGGTCAAGGACAACGCCTATAATTTTTTGTGATGATGAGATAATAATATTGGGATGAAGTGGACCGAAAACGTTTTTTTTTCGAGTCGATCTACAGTCCACAATTGAAAGCCGAACATCACAAAACAACCCACGTTTAAGGGAATCTGGACAAGTAATTAGAAGGACTGTACTGAATGGTAGTAATTTTGTTGACCTCTAGTGGGTCAAGAGGGTGCAAACATCGCGAAATATTGCCCATGCTCAGAATGTGGTGCCGCAGAAAGTTAGATGTTCATGGAAGTTGTGTAGGGTATAATAAGGTCGGCCCCGTGCGACTATACTGCTCCGCTCACTGTTTTTTTGTACAATTTTGACCATTTTGTGGGAGAGGTACCACAATGGAGTTGTCCGATATTCCCCATCTTTGAACTTGAACTAAGTTTGGAAAAAATATTAAGAAAATCATTTACTCCCTTCGAGAGTTATGGTGCGCACCTGTCGGTCAGATAGATGGACAGATATTTGTAAATCGACCTCAAACGACCTCTAAAACATCTATCCAAATCTTTCGTTTTTTTTGTTTTAAATTAGTCTCTACGGATCTGATCTCGATGTAGGAATACATAAAATATACATTAAAATAATATATGTTAAAGACCACTTTTAATTGATAATCTATCGAAAACAGTTATAGTAAGTTCGTTATAGTTTTCGAATTTTCAACCCTCTGCAAATTTTTGTAGCCCCAGACAACACGGGACCATCAGGGCGACTCGTGGAAGTCAGCAACTGTTCAGAAAATATTCCAGTATTCTATGAGAAGAAAACCTTCTGTGAGAGAAAGACATTCTGGTCCTCTAGGAGAAGAAGAGCTTCAGGTCTTCTATGAGAAGAATAAATTCTGGACTTCCATGAAAAGATATCTTCTGGTCTTCTATGAGAAGAAGACTCTCTGGTCTTCTACAAAAAGAAGAACTTATGGCCTTCTATGAGTAGAATACCTTCTGGTCTTTCATGGGAAGAATACCTTCTGGTCTTCCGTGAGAAGAATATCTTCGGGTATTCTATGAGAAGACCTTCTGGTCTTCCGTGAGAAGAATATTTTCTTCTGGCCTTCTAAAAGGAAATACCGTAAATAAGACCTTCGGACCTTCCGTAAAGAACACATTCTTTTCTTTCCTTTTGGTTTTAAAACAGCGATTATTTTTATCCGGATATTGACCGTAGTTTTGAATGAAGTTCCAGCTTATAGTAGGGTACAATGTCAACTATTATTTTGATAGGTGCCATTTTTATTTCCATAAAACTACCTAAGTCACAGACATTTACTATAGAAATATTTTGAGCTCTTCGCAATCGATATCGATGGTGATGCATTCGAATTTCTAAATGAATATCACAATAAAAAATGCGACTAAATATAGCTCATGGTCTGGGGGTGAGAAGTTTCTTTTGGGGTTGAATGCCTTTGGCAAGTATATTAAGAACTCAGAATGACAAATTGAAGAAAAAGCTTTGTTCGCTGTGTATTTTACAAAACATATCCTATTTCAATCTCGAATCCATTTGTGTCTTTTTCGTCCTTATGTTAACTAAATACTACAAGACTCGATTTTTTTACAAATAAATGTTCTACAAAAATGTCGCTCAAAAGATTTCAGATATGGTCCTCAAAGACAAGAAATCGATTTTTGTATATTTTCATTGTTCTTTTCCATTTTTACATGCACTTGGTCTGAAAAATTCACGATCGAAAAAATGTTACTAATCTCTACATATATATCAATTGAAGGTATACTACAAATTAGTGAATGTTAAATAGGTTAATAGTTGATTTGGGGTCAGCCTGACTACACCGATATGCTTAATTGTATTTTTCTATAATCAATTCTATCCTCATTGACTAACAAATGTAAATTTCTTTGCAGTTCTGCTTGAAAAAATTTTACGCTGTACCGATGTCAACCGCATTTATATTCTGCTACGACCCAAAGCTGGTCAAGCTATAATTGAACGTTTTAACGAGATTAGCAAAACGCCGGTAAGTATTTAATTCAATCAACAATTAATCTATCAGCTCATTCATGCATTTGATAATTGTTAATACCCCGCTAACAGCTATTCGATAAACTGCATACATTACGTCCGAATTTTATGCATAAAATTCATCTTATCGAAGGTGATTGTATGCTGGAGAACTTGGGTATATCCAATGATGATCATCGAACATTAATCGAAAATGTTGAGGTCATATTGCACTGTGCGGCGACAATACGTTTTAATGAGACGCTTAGCATTGCTACGCAAATTAATGTTCAGGCCACAATGGATCTAATCGCGATGGCAAAGGAAATGAAGCAGTTGGTGGTGAGTTGAAGATTCATTTCAAAAAAATCACTTCGTTTATTAATTTTATTATTTAGTCCTTTGTCCATGTCTCCACAGCATTTGTTAATAGTGTAACAACCCATGCCGAAGAGCGATTTTCTAGCGAGCAGTTGACTGTCAGCAGTCAAGATCTTTTGAATATAAAGCAATCATTAGGCAGTGAAACATTTGATTCGATGTCTGAGAAATTTGTCGACAAATATCCCAACACATATACCTTTACAAAAGCTGTTTCGGAAGAATTTATAAGAACACATGCGGAATCATTGCCAATTTGTATCGTTCGACCGGGAGTAAGTAAGTAAACTATGATCAAAAAATATTCTACCTCCAGGACTTCTATAAGAGAGTCTTCTATAAGAATTCATTCAGCTCTTCTCTTAGAAGACCTTGCAGATTTATATAACCGACCTTAAGATCTTCTATAAACATACCTTCTGATATTCTATAAGCAGATGACTTTCTGGTCTTTTATAAGAATATCTCCCTCTTCTGAAATGAGTCCATCTGGTCTACAATGAGGAGAAGACCTTCTGGTCTGTAAGAAGAAGAAGACCTTGCAGATTTATATAACCGACCTTAAGATCTTCTATAAACATACCTTCTGATATTCTATAAGCAGATGACTTTCTGGTCTTCTATAAGAATATCTCCCTCTTCTGAAATAAGTCCATCTGGTCTACAATGAGGAGAAGACCTTCTGGTCTGTAAGAAGAAGACCTTGAAGATTTATATAACCGACCAAAAGATCTTCTATAAACATACCTTCTGATATTCTATAAGCAGATGACTTTCTGGTCTTCTATAAGAATACCTCCCTCTTCTGAAATAAGTCCATCTGGTCTACAATGAGGAGAAGACCTTCTGGTCTGTAAGAAGAAGACCTTCCGATTTTCTAGAAGAAGACCACTGGCCTTCTATGAAAAAGCAGACCTTCTGCACTTCTATGAGAAGAAAACCTATTAATCTCCTAGGAAAAAAGACCTTCCAGTCTTCTATGAGAAGAATACATTCTGGTCTTCTATGAAAAGACGACCTTCCGATTTTCTAGGAGAATACCTCAGACCTTATATGAAGAAGCAGACCTTCTGGTCTTCTATGAGAAGAAGACCTTCTTATCTTTTAGGTGAAGACGTTCTGGTTTATAATAAGAACATCTTCCGATTTTCTAGGAGAAGACCTCTGGCCTTCTATGAAAAAGCAAATTTTGTTTGTCTTCTATGAAAAGATGAACTTCTAATATTCTAGGAGAATAATACCTTCTGGTCAATAAGAAGAAGACCATCCAATTTTCTAGGAGAAGACATTCTAGTCTTCTATGAAAAGAATACCTTCTGGCCTTCTTTGAGAAGAAGAATGCCTTCTGGTCTTCTATAAGGAAGACCTTCAGCTCTTCTATAAGGAAGACCTTCAGCTCTTCTATAAAGAAGACCTTCAGTTCTTTTACAAAGATGACCTTCAGCTCTTCTATAGGAAGACCTTCAGCTCTTCTATGGGAAGACTTTCAGCTCTTCTATGGGAAAACTTTCAGCTCTTCTATGGGAAAACTTTCAGCTCTTCTATAGGAAGACTTTCAGCTCTTCTATAGGAAGACCTTCAGCTCTTCTATAGGAAGACCTTCATCTCTTCTATAGGAAGACCTTCAGCTCTTCTATAAAGAAGACCTTCAGCTCTTCTATAAAGAAGACCTTCAGCTCTTCTATAAAAAAGCTCTTCTATAAAGAAGACCTTCAGCTCTTCTATAAAGAAGACCTTCAGCTCTTCTACAAAGAAGACCATCAGCTCTTCTATAAAGAAGACCTTCAGCTCTTCTATAAAGAAGACCTTCAGCTCTTCTACAAAGAAGACCATCAGCTCTTCTATAAAGAAGACCTTGAGCTCTTCTATAAAGAAGACCTTGAGCTCTTCTATAAAGAAGACCTTGAGCTCTTCTATAAAGAAGACCTTCAGCTCTTCTATAAAGAAGACCTTCAGCTCTTCTTTAAAGAAGACCTTCAGCTCTTGTACCGATCCACCCTTCATTTGACCCATTGGCCTCTTCTATAAGAAAATTCTGAGCTCTTCAATTAGAAGATTCTGAACTCTTCTATAAAGAAGGTCTTAAGCTCTTCTATAATAATAACTTGAGATCTTCTATAAGAATACCTTAAGCCCCCTGATGATATTATCTGTGAATATATATCTCTCCTTTATTTCCTAATTCTCCCATTCCTTTTTTCAGTTATCGCAACAATGGCAGAACCCTTTGGCGGTTGGATAGATAATATTCAAGGAGCTGCGGGTGCAACATATAGTACTTTAATGGGCGTTCTAAGAGTCATAAATACAAAATATGGTAGAAGGGCACCACTGGTACCGGTGGATTACTGTGCAAATATCTTATTGGCTGCAGCGTGGCACACAGCTAATTTTGAGAAATCAAGGTATATTGAAAAAAATCAAAACCACAGTAACATTAATCTTTTTTTATATTTTTTACAGACCCACCAAAGACCCCACAATTTACAATTTCATACCCGAGGAATCAAATCTGATCACATGGGGTCAATATATAACAGTTTTATTAGACTACAATCGCCAGATGCCCTATTCGAAAATGTTATGGTATCCAATGATAAAATTTATTCCAAATAAATTTCTCTATCGTCTAGCAGTAGTTGTTTATCAAACAATTCCAGGTTATATTATGGATATGATATTGAAATTTCAAGGTTCAAAGATGAGGTAAATTTGTGCGATATTAATCTACATTATATTCGATTTTATAAATATGACTTAAAATTAAATTTCAGTGTATTAAAAATTAACGAAAAAGTTTTTCGTTTAACCCAAGTCTTAAGTTATTTCATTGACAAGGATTTCACATTTGCCACAGCAAATACCAGACAGCTGTGGCAATCAATGTCTGCGGAGGATCGAAAAATGTTTAATTTTGATATGGTCTCATTGTCATGGAATGATTATTTACGTAGCTATGCAGAAGGCTTGAGACTTTTCATTGCCAAAGAGGGGCCGGAGACAATACCCACAGCTATAGGTACATTAAAAAGGTAAAGTAGTTAATATTTGGAATAATTTATAGACATATGGTATCGAACATGTAATACTCTACGAAAATACCATTGGACTGTAACATTTTGAAGAAGAAAATGTCTTTTACATGTAGTGAAGGATATAATTGACTCGACCCTATCGAACTGTTTCCCTTCATTACTTGTTTTTGAGTACAATGGTATATTGTCATTGATTTTTTTTTAAATAATTATATCAACATATTTTTCTTTTAGATTTTATTTTCTTAATCTGACAATTAAATCAATCGCCAGCATCGGTCTGCTATGGGCACTGAAATGTTTAATTTTCCGATGACGACGAATGGAATATGTTAATAAATTAATCCTAATTAATATTAAATATGTATTAAAATGTTATGTAAAAATAATTTTGTAAAGTATTCAATATTTTGAAATATGACAAGTTTTTATAGTTTATATAAAGAAATAAAATGAGAAAATATTAATGAAGAACAAGAATGAAAAGACCCTATAATTATATTACGATATGCAATCAATGGGCCAAATCGGATACTCCATACTGCAATTCGCAAGTTTGTCCCTTTGGATTTATAAATTTAAAGAAGACCGTCTGACTGCCAATGGAGCATGCCCAACGTTGTGCGCCAATGTAACACACCTCTCGTAGGGCGTTACTAAAATAAGCCTCTCGTTGGGCTTCAATGTAGAAGACCTTTCTTTGAGTGATGGAACGTTGGCTATGTTGGACTGCAATTCCATGCTTCGCAATTTGTAGCGATTCATAAATAAATAAACGCTCCGATTATTTTTAAAATACCGACTTTATTACTATTCTGCGCAACCTTATCAGATGGATACAACACTGTATCGTGTTTGAATGGAGATTGCGGAATAAGCGAGTTATTGTGTTTTCGTCGCTCTTTTATACCCTTTTCTGGGTTACAGAATATCTACGTTATCGATAATATGCTTAAATGATCGATAACATTCTAATATTCTAAATTTAAACAAGGGTTTCATTCATAGACTTAAATCTAGTTGGATAAATAAGGTTTACATCAATTCGTAGAAATGCTGATTTGTTAAAAATAGTGGATTGCTTCAAATTTTAAAATTTTTGATATTTTGTGTGGGAGGTCATATGAGACTTACAATTTTGAAAAATGTGACCCTTTATGGGGAGGTACAAGAATGAGGCTTGGCTAAAATATTAGTTTGCACAAAGTGTGATTAAACCCGAATAACTTGTTCCCATAATATTAGAAACATTAGTTTTCAGCAAATTTTAGCCATTTTGTGGGGAGGTACCAGAAAAATTAGATCGATGGGTTCCTTCATCGGAAATACTCTCGGTTTGGTTAAATATTATGACTTGCAAAGTTTGGATGAGTCGTATATTCCGTTCGCTTCATATGAGATTGGCAAATTGTTTTGTTGTTTTTGTTAACCTGTGATGTATTATTTTTCTTGTTTGGATTTAGTTCGGCTCAAGGTTAAATAAAATGCTGTATTATGATTTCTGATTTTTTATTTTTATTTTCCAATATTTCGACTGTCTTCGACGGTCATCTTCAGGGAATACTAAAAGATATAATTATTTAATAAGGTTTTCACAGAATAATATAACACAAATATTACGTTTTGAGAGAAGCTACAGGTTTGTTACACCGTCTATGCTAAACTAAACTCTAATTCGTCTGTGCTTATGAACTAAATTTCACCAAGCAAATGAAGAAAAGATACGATACATATTAATGAAAAATGATTTCCCATTAAAAACAATTGACGAACTACTACAATCCTGCAAGTCGAAAAATAAAGCAAAAATTGAAAAAGAAGAAAAATCGTACAAGCCAATGACATATGTACCAGGACTTTCCGAGAGATTGAGCAATTCAAATATCTATGACAAAACCAATTATCAACTAGCCCTAAAATCTAAAAATAATATCAATAGCAAGACAAAATCGAAAATAAAAAAGAAGACAAGTGCAATGTAGTATATAAGATAAAATGTAACGGGGACAAAACCAACTTATGCCAAAAGGTATATGTTGGTACAACAAAAACCAAGCTAAAGACAAGACTTTCTGGTCATAAGTCAGATCAAAATACAGACAAGCCATTAGAACAAAAGACGGCTCTTGCAGCACATTGCACAATCACGGGGCATACACCAAATTTCAAAGACGTTGATATTTTGACACAAGAAAACAATTACAAACGACGATTTACTTTAGAAATGCTTAATATAATAAATGTACCACAAGAGAAGAGAATGAATTACAAGACTGACACGGACCACCGTGCACATATGTATAGAAATTTAGTTCATAAGCACAGACGAATTAGAGTTTAGTTTAGCATAGACGGTGTAACAAACCTGTAGCTTCTCTCAAAACGTAATATTTGTGTTATATTATTCTGTGAAAACCTTATTAAATAATTGTATCTGTTAGTATTTCCCTGAAGATGACTGTCGAAGACAGTCGAAATATTGGAAAATAAAAATAAAAAATCAGAAATCATAATACAGCATTTTATTTAACCTTGAGCCGAACTAAATCCAAACAAGAAAGATTGGCAAATTTTCAAAATGATTGTCCCCTTGTGGGAGACTTACTATAAGGAGTGAATCGATAAGCCCCATATACCAACATAATACAGCTAGTGCAAAGTTCGGTTCGTATATTATTATAAAACTTTATTACATCAACATTTCGGCTATTTTATGTTGGTAGTACCAAAAGTAGTGAACCGATATTTTCCATTTTCGAACATGATTTTAATTTTGAATTTTCAGAGTTATCGTGTTGATCGCAGAAAGAACACTATGGACCCAAAAGGTGGATTTTTTAGGCATCTCTGGAAAGCATCTAGACCTTCCAAATTTCGTTCGGATGTTTGTAACACGCAAATCTGCTAAATTTGAGGGGAATCGATTCAGAAATGGATGCAGATTTCGTATATGTATTTCATCCGTACAAAGGATTCTTTTTGAATCAGATCGATTTAAAATTTGATATGGTGGATCCTGTTCGATTTAGAATCACTTTCGGAAAATTTGGGCTTAATCGTATAAATACACATAAAAAAACGATTTTACAGAAAATTTTTTTTTAAGTTTTCAATTTAGTCACACTTTATATGGGACAAAGGAACTTCTACAGCTTCTCAATTAGAGTGTGTAGGAGATATTCATATGAATTTTTACACAATCTGAGGTCTATTATAGCGAACAATCGTGCATCATTAACTCGAGCTAAATTAATAGAAATTTCCTGGTTTTTATAATTAGCGATAATTGAAGATATATTTATGTACATATTTAGCTTACTTCCATGTTGAAATGGTTTTATTTTTGAGTGCTCCAAATTTTTGTAAATTTATATCCGTTATTATTTCATTCAAATATATGATTTAAACCAGTGAGCGAAGCAGTATAGTCGGACGGGGCAGAACATACGATACCCTACACAACTACCACGTGGCTTTAACTTTCTGCGGATTTTTATTCCGAGCCTGGGCAATATTTCGTGATAGTTGCACCCTCTTGCCCGATTAGAGGTCAACATAACCTCTTCCTTACACTGACATATTTTCCGAATATTTCTAATATTCGGTACTTGTCCGTATTCCATTCCCGTGGGCTGTGTTTTGATGTTCGGCTTTTAATTTTGGCCTATAGATCGACTCGAAAACACAACAAATTAAGTTTTCGGTCCACTTCATTCCAAAATTATTATCTGACATCACAGAACATATAGGCGTTGTCCTTGACAATAACTGGAATCTCATGGAAATTTCAAAGCGATCAGCCAGAGGACGGACCCTCTGGTGTGGTAATGGGTTAATACATAATATCTGAATACGTAGACACCTTAAGTGTAACTCCCACATCCGAGATCATACGACAATATAATTGGTATCAATTTAAATGTTAACCGCTCCTCTTGGATATACTATCAACTTCTCGGGTCTATGTCCTTCATGGTTAAATATATACGCTATAGAATACAAATTTTGTAATTTTTCACACAAAAGTCAAGGTCCATTTGACCCGTCAAATATTGACAGATCTTTATCAAAACAGGCATGCTTATTCATTGGCCCGATCCCGTTCTCTTTGTGAATGTTTGGACCATAATTGCGGCCTCTGGAGCGGCCAGAAAATCAGACAAAAATAAAGTTTTTGGTCCATTTCATCCCCTAAATACTAACCGACCTTTACCAAAAACCAGTAAGGAAAGTAGTAAAGTCGGACGAGGCCGACTATATGATACCCTTCACCACTTTCGGTATATTTAAAAGATGAAACCTAAAAGACGTTGAATTTATAAAGGACCAGGGACAAAATTATGAAAATCAATTATAACCATAGATATATATGCTATATACCAGGGACGTATGAATTTTTTTCACAGTAAATTTTCGTTTGCAATAGCGAATTGTTTTCATTTTGTACTACCGGGCCGAAAATATATATGGGAGCTATATCTAAATCTGGACCGATTTTCTGAAAACTTAACACACATCATTCTAAACTTAATTTAGTACACTGTGCCAAATTTCGTGCAAATCGAAAGATATATAGGGACTTTGGTACGCCATATACATTAAATCGGACGAAAATATATATGGGAGCTATATCTGGACCGATTTTCAGGAAACTTAACACACATCATTCTACAGCTAATTCATTACGCTATGCCAAATTTCGTGCAAATCGAAATATATATAGGGACATTGGTACACCATTTACATAAAATCGGACGAAAATATATATGGGGGCTATATCTAAATCTGGACCGATTTTCAGGAAACTTAACACACATCATTCTAGACCTAAATGATTAGGCTGTACCAAATTTCGTGCAAACCGGAAGATATATAGGGACTTTGGGGCACCATTTACATAAAATCGGACGAAACTATATATGGGAGATATATCTAAATCAGGACAGATTTTCATGAAACTTGGCAGACATCATTCTAGGCTCAATTAAGTATGTTAT